TATAAAAGGAGAAAGACCCCAAGAGTGATATACAACAGAAATTTACAGGGACAATCTATAAAAACAACGTCTTCACAGGCAATGTGATGACAATAAATTCATATCTTTCAAAAGTCACTCTCAATGTGACCGGCCTAAATGCTCCCATAAAATGGCACAGCATTGCAGACTGGATAAAAAGACAGAACCCACCCATATGCTGTTTACAAGAGACTCATTTTGAACCTAACGATACATCCAGACTGAAAGGGAAGGGATGGAGATGCATCTTCCATGCCAACGGACCTCAAAAGAAAGCTGGGGTCACAATTGTTACATCAGACAAATTAGATTTTAAACTAAAGATGGGGGCGCCTGGGTGGCTCAGTTGGTTAAGCGACTGCCTTCGGCTCAGGTCATGATCCTGGAGTCCCAGGATCAAGTCCCGCATCGGGCTCCCTGTTCAGCGGGGAGTCTGCTTCTCCCTCTGATCCTCCCCCTCTCATGCTCTCTGTCTCCCACTCTCTCTCTCAGATAAATAAATAAAATCTTTAAAAAAAAATAAAATAAATAAACTAAAGATGGTAGTTAAAGACACAGAAGGACGCTATATCATTCTTAAAGGGTCTATCCAACAAGAAAAGCTAACAATTGTAAATATCTATGGGAGCAGCCATCTACAGAAGCCAACTGTTAACCACAATAAGAGTCATATTGATAACAATACGTTAATTGTACGAGATCTCAATACTCCATTCTCAACAATAGACAGATCATCTAAGCAGAAAATCAACAAAGAAACAAGAACTTTGAATGATACACTGGACCAGATGGACCTCAAAGATATATAAAGAACATTCCACCCTAAAACAACAGAATACTCATTCTTCTCGAGTGCACATGGAACTTTCTCCAGAATAGACCGCATACTGGGTCACAAATCAGGTCTCAACCGATACCAAAAGATTGAGATTATTACCTGCATACTCTCAGACCATAATGCTTTAAAACTGGAACTCAATCATAAGAAAAATTTTGGCAGAAATTCAAACACTTGGAAGCTAAAGACCACTCTGCTCAAGAATGTTTGGGTCAAAGAATAACTTAAACAATTCATGGGAAACAATGAGAATGAAAACTCATCGGTCCAAAACCTATGGGAAGCTGCAAAGGCGGTCCAAAGGGGGAAACACATAGCTATCCAAGCCTCACAAAAAGAAAGAAAAAAAAAAAAAGAAAAGAAAAATCCCGAATTCACCAACTAACTTTACACTTTAAAGAACTAGAGAAAAAGCAACAAATGATGCCTAAGCCATGCTTTAGAAGAGAAATAATTAAGATTAGAGCAGAGATCAATGAATTAGAAACCAGAAACACAGATCAGATCAACAAAACTAGAAGCTGGTTCTTTGAAAGAATTAATAAGATCAATAAACCACTGGCCAGAATTATCCAAAAGAAAAGAGAAAGGACCCAAACTAATAAAATTATGAATGAAAGGGGAGAGATCACAACTAACACCAAGGAAATAGAAACAATTATTAGAAATTATTATTAACAACTCTATGCCAATAAAGCAAGCAAGCTGGAAGAAATGGATGCCTTCCAGGAAACCTATAAACTGCCAAGACTGAAACAGGAAGAAACTGACAACCTGAATAGGCCAATAACCAGTAACGAGATTGAAGCAGTGATCCAAAACCTCCCAAAAAACAAGAGTGCATGGCCTGATGGATTCCCTGAGGAACCTACCAAACATTCAAAGAAGAAATAATACTTATTTTCCTGAAGGTGTTTCAAAAAATAGAAACAGAAGGAAAGCTTCCAGACTCATTCAATGAGGCCAGCATAACCTTGATCCCTAAACCAGGCAAAGACCCCATCAAAAAGGAGAATTTCAGACTGATATCCCTGATGAATATGGATTCCAAAATCCTCAACAAAATCCTAGCTAATAGGATCCAACAATACATTAAACGGATCATCCACCACAACCAAGTGGGATTTATCCCCGGGATGCAAGCATGGTTCAACATTCACAAATCAGTCAGTGTGATAGAACACATTAATAAGAGGAGAGAGAAGAACCATATGGTCCTCTCAACTGATGCAGAAAAAGCATTTGATAGCATACAGCATCTTTTCCTGATTAAAACTCTTCAGAGTATAGGGATAGAGGGAATATTCCTCAAGTTCATAAAATCCATCTGTGAAAAACCCACAGTGAATATCATCCTCAATGGGGAAAAGCTGAGAGCCTTTCCCTTAAGATCAGGAACACGACAAGGATGCCCACTCTCGCCACTGTTGTTCAACATAGTACTAGAAGTCCTAGCCACAGCAATCAGACAACAGAAAGAAATAAAAGCATTCAAATTGGTAAAGAAGCAGTTACTCTCTCTCTTTGCAGATGACATGATACTTTATGTGGAAAACCCAAAAGACTCCACCCCCAAATTACTAGAACTCATACAGCAATTCAGTAATGTGGCAGGATACAAAATCAATGCACATAAATCAATTACTTTCTAATACACTAACAATGCAACTGTAGAAAGAGAAATTAGAGAATCTACTCCATTTACAATAGCACCCAAAACCATAAGATACCTCAGAATAAACCTAACCAAAGAGGTAAAAGATCTATACTCTAGGAACTACAGAATACTCATGAAAGAAATTGTAGAAGACACAAAAAGATGGAAAAACATTCCATGCTCATGGATCGGAAGAATAAACATTGTTAAAATATCTATGCTACCCAGAGAAATCTATACCTTCAAGGCCATCCTGATCAAAATTCCAATGACATTTTTCAAAGTGCTGGAACAAACAATCCTAAAATTTGTATGGAATCAGAAAAGACCCCAAATCGCCAAGGAAATGTTGAAAAGGAAAAACAAAGCTGGGGGTATCACGTAGCCTCATTTCAAGCTATATTACAAAGCAATGATCACCAAGACAGCATGGTACTGGCACAAAAACAGACATATAGACCAATGGAACAGAATAGAGAGCCCAGATATGGACCCTCAACTCTATGGTCAAATAATCTTCAACAAAGCAGGAAAAAATATGCAATGGAAAAAAGACAGTCTCTTCAATAAATGGTGCTGGGAAAATTGGACAGCTACATATAGAAGAATGAAACTGGAACATTCCTTTATAGCATACACAAAGATAAACTCAAAATGGATGAAAGACCTCAATGTGAGACAGGAATCCATCAAAATCCTAGAGGAGAATATAGGCAGTAACCTCTTCGACATTGGCCACGACAACTTCTTCAAGATAGAACTCCAATGTCTAGTGAAGCAAAAGCAAAGATGAACTTTTGGGACTTCATCAAGATAAAAAGCTTCTGCACAGCAAAGGAAACAGTCAACAAAACAACGAGGCAACCCACAGAATGGGAGAAGATATTTGCAAATGACACTACAGACAAAGTGCTGATTTCCAGGATTTATGAAGAATTTCTCAAACTCAACACCCAAAAACCAAATAATCAGATCAAAAAATGCGCAGAAGATACAAACGGACACTTCTCTGAAGAAGACATACAAATGACTAACAAACACATGAAAAAATGCTCATCATCATTAGCCATCAGGGAAATTCAAATCAAAACCACATTGAGATACTACCTCACACCAGTTAGAATGGCAAAAATTGACAGGGAAAGAAACAACAAATGTTGGAGAGGTTGTGGAGAAAGGGGAACCCTCTTACACTGTTGGTGGGAATGCAAGTTGGTACAGCCACTTTGGAAAACAGTGTGGAGGTGCCTCAAAAAATTAAAAAATAGAGCTAGCCTATGACCCAGCAATCGCACTCCTGGTTATTTACCTCAAAGACACAGATGTAGTGAAAGAAGGGCCATATACACCCAAATGTTCATAGCAGCAATGTCTGCAATAGCCAAACTGTGGAAAGAGCCAAGATGCCCTTCAACAGATGAATGGATAAAGAAGATGTGGTTCATATATACAATGGAATACTACTTAGCCATCAGAAAGAATGAGTACCCAACTTTTACATCAACATGGATGGGATTGGAGGAGATTATGCTAAGTGAAATAAGTCAAGCAGAGAAAGTCAATTATCATACGGTTTCACTTGTTTGTGGAACATAAAGAATAACATGGAGGACATTAGGAGAAGGAAGGGAAAAATGAAGGGGGGAGGGAATCGGAGGGAGAGATGAACCATGAGAGACTATGGACTCCATGAAACAAACTGTGGGTTTTACAGGGAGGGGGGTGGGGGGATGGGTTAGCCTGGTGATGGGTGTTAAAGAGGGCACGTACTGCATGGAGCACTGGGTGTTATAGGAAAACAGTGAATCATGGATCACTACACCAAAAACTAATGATATATTGTATGGTGACTAACATAACATAATTAAATTAAATTAAATTTTTAAAAGTTAGCATGACTTTGAAATTCTTACTCTCCTTACCTTCTTTAAACTGATATCCTAAGAAAAAAACTATATACTGTGCAGAGATGATACATGTACTTCAGTGGATCAAAATCTAGTTTGACATCATATCTATCAACATTCTAGATAAATACTTGATTGGAGTAACTTCCTAAGCTTTCATTTGAAATGCCCAAGTAAGCATATATTTTAAAAATCTCTTTTGATTGTTGGAGGAACATCTTTTCTCCATTACAGCAACTCAGTTTTTCAAATGTAACTATCAAATGGTGAGTCATTTAAACATAGTTAAAAAAGTGCATATATAAGTCAGATATTTCTGATCAGGCATAATAAAAGGGCATAAAGTGAAGTTTCCAAACACAAGCACAGAAAAACTTCAGGCTGATATGTAATTTATTAACATTAAATAAACAAGCTTCAGGTAAGTGTATTTTTTTTTACTACTAATATAATTTATCTAAAGCCAGTACAAATTTATTCTGTTTAGGAAATGTGGTTGCAAGATACAGCACTAGCATGTTAATTCAGTTACTACCTAATATTTATATGTCCAACAAATAAGCAAAAATCATTTTACCTTTATTATCCCTTTGGAATTTTTTGATGGTTGGTCCATTATCCTGATCAACAGTAAGTTCCTCTCTATTGTTGGGCATCATAGCTATAAATAAAAGATAAAACTGAGTAATTTTCTTGCAAAACACCCAAAAGAAAAGTAGAAAAGTATTATATAAATAACTATTTTACTCCAATAACAACTAACATGAATTGTATACATCTCTATCTGAAACAGTGGAATCATTAGTGTTGGTTTGATGATTATGTAGTTTAAAAATCAATAAACTGCTCAATCATGTGAATTTTTAAAGTGGAATTAATATGTAGTGCATATATAATTGCCCACATATTTTTTTAAATCATTTTAAATGTTTGCTCTTTTAAAATTCATATGCAAATTAGCTATTTACCTGCATAATTAATAATATAGTTCCCAAAATGTTTTTAGAATTTATCACTTAATTTCATGAGTTTAAAATCATTACAGATAACTCACTTTATTGAGTTTTTTTTTTTACAAATACATATAGCAAAATTAATAGGTAAAGTATAACTTTCTGGTAATTATTATAAATGCTTTTTCACAAACCATTTATATTGAAAAAAGGAAAAGTGTGCCAATTTTCATAGTTTATCATTTAATTCTCTTTTGTTATATTTGTTTATATCATTATATTGCTAGCGGCTCCTGGGTAGCACAGTCAGTTAAACGTCTGCCTTTGGCTCAGGTCATGATCCCAGGGTCCTGGGATTGAGCCCCATGTCTAGCTCCCTACTCAGTGGGGAGCCTGCTTTCCCTCTCCTCCCTGCTCATGCTCTCTTGCTATCTCTGTCTCTCTTTCTCAAATAAATTAATAAAATCTTTTAAAAAACATTATATTCACAGACCTGTACCTCTGAAACAAATAATACATTATATGTTAAAAAAAAAAAAAGAGGAAGAAGATAGCAGGAGGGGAAGAATGAAGGGGGAGACGAACCATGAGAGACTATGGACTCTGAGAAACAAACTGAGGGTTCTCTAGGGGAGGGGGTGGGGGGATGGGTTAGTCTGATGGGTATTAAAGAGGGCACGTTCTGCATGGAGCACTGGGTGTTATACACAAACAATGAATCATGGAACACTACATCAAAAACTAATGATGTAATGTATAGTGATTAACATAACATAATAATAAAAAAATACCAAAATGCATTATATTGCTCTATAAGTAAAATATGGTCACTTTAAACCAAAAATCCTCAAACTTTTTTTCTTTTTTTGTTTTAGACAATCTCACAATCATGCTTGGACACCTGGGAATATGCATAGACAGCCTAATTACTGCCAGTGGAATTAGAAATGTTTTATGTGGTTGATATATTTTTTAGAATACTATATTGTTTTAGAAATATTTGATTTTATTTCTAAGTGTAAGATACTATTCCCTTAAAATATATTTATCACATAGTATATTTCCCTATGTGTTCTGCTCTTAGCCAGCCCTCAATAAATAATTCTCTCTCTCCCTTTTCTCTCTCCCCCACCCCTCATTAATACAAAGATTATCCTGACAAAATAATGTGTGTTTTGGTTTCTTGATTCGTTAATGGTATCTGGCTCTATCTGCTTTTCTTGCTCAGACTCCCTTAAATCAGTTGCACACAGTTGTAACAACCAGGTAGTCTGTGTCCCAAAAGCTGTGATAAAGTAAAGCTAGAAGACCCATCACCTCTTCCAGGAATTGAACTTACTCCCTTAGGGCATTAACCTCAAGTTCTAGCTCAGTGGTTCTTAACTCTGGTTGCATGTTAGAATATCATGAGGAGACACTGAAAATCAAAACAAAGCAGTGCTGCCAGGCTCTATTCCAGACGAGGTAAATCAGACTCTGAGCATGTAACCTGGGCATTCATATCTGTAAATGTTCCACAAGTGATTATAATGGGTGCCAGATTTGAGATTCATTGCGCTTACTATGAGCCACAAACAATATATAATATTGACAGGCTAAATGAGACTTGGATGAATTTCCAGAAGGGAGAAATAATCTTCATCCTTCCCCAGCACAAATTCAGAAACTAACACCTCTGTTAATCCCTCAAATTCCTCTCCTCCCCACAAAAAAAAACCCAGAAAAACAAAAAACAAAAAAACATTATTTTGGAGAGGCTTAAAGCAATCACTATTATGGTGTATAAAAACTTAGAGTTCATATAAAGAACAATTTTATAGAGTAAGACTAAAAGAGGAACAGAAATCATTTTTCCTAAAGGAAATGGATATTTAAGAAATTGGATTGTGTAGATACAAAAGATTAATAAAGATTTTACCTATCTCATTTAGTTCATAATTATTATATACTAGATGAGAATTTGTTACAACTGAATGCACTTGGTAACATCTGTATACCTGAGTAAAATCAGACAGCAAGGGATAATAAACAATCAAGGTAAAGCCACATAGACAATAAGAGTGCTTATCCCTCACATTTCCTTAGCACTTTAAACTTCTGAAGTGTTTTCCCACGTATTATTTCATTTGACCTCACAAAAATCCAGTGCATTAGGCATGGCAGTAATTATTTCCATATATTAGGTAAAGAAACTCATGATGGTTAAGTGACATACCCAAGGTCTCATAGCTACTCAGTGCCAGAACTATGGCTAGATTCAAGTCTCCAATATGCCACATCACTGACAATACCATTATAGTCTTTCTGGAATAGTGTCTATGGTGTAAGGCTTCTGAGATAATAAAAAAATAAAGAAAGGGAAAATATTAAATATTTTTGATCCAAATTATTGAGATTGTAGCAAATTATATCTTGATTCACTTTTTAATCACTCTTAAATGATCAACTGTTTAAAAGATATTTTATCTTTCATTATTCAAAGATGCTGTGAATGTAACAAGTGTATTTCTTCATGTGAACTGTTAAATATCAATATGTTGAACTAACATATAGTCTACAAAAATCCCATCATATTGTTCTGATAGAATCCAGTGACACAGTAAATGAAGACACTTTCAGAGAAGAAACTTCTAACACTTTACGTTTCATTTTGTTGTTCATATTGCTTCAGCACTAAAAAAATGACCACTTCAAAAAGTCATTTTTATTAAGGAGGCATCAACCCCCCAGCTCTCCCTTTTCTATTGACTAATGAAGAAATTCCCAAAAGGATATCTTTTAATTCTTTGTTTTAGATGAGATACTTACCCATCCTCTCTGAGTGGTGATCCATCTGAGAGGGAGAGCTGGACACACTGCTGCTGGGGTGGGAGGAAGTCTGACTCCTAGGATGATGATTCTCTTCCAGAGAGGGAACAGGAGAAGGACTCTCTGGGATCCGTTCCTGACACAAGGAAACACAACAGTAAATGTCATCTGTTCACCAAGTTTTTCATGTTGGTTGAGTCCATAATATTTGAAATGTTGACCTCTCTGTTATCCCAAAAGCATGCATGTTCATGATACTTGGTCTTAAACGTGTATCTTTAGACAAATACATATTTTTTGTTCTTGTAAAATTAATGGGATATTATGAGGGCTAAATAAGAGAACGTGAAAGGGCTCAGTGCCATGTTGGATATATGTTAGAGGTTCAAGAAAGGTTAGTTTCCATTTCCTTTCCTAGAAAATTCAGGAAGAATTATGAACATAGGTGTGCAGTGAAGATTACTGTTATTGTAAACTCTTAAATTTATATAAAGTATATGCCAAAGCCTGGAGGGTGATCCTACTCTCTAAGAAGATCTTCCAAAAGTAAACACTTGAAAACCTAGGAATAAAACTCACACGTAGTGGCATCTGGTAAATATTGAGTCTTTCTGCACAAATAAAAATTATGGAAACTATGGAAACAATATACATGCACTCTATCAGACCTTAGGAATTTATGTTGAATTCTGCCAGCAAAATGGTTTGGTAGTCACAGGACACAATGATAGGTTTTCCAAACTAACACTAAAACCTGTCAATAACAATTGCTTAGTATTATTTAGATTTTTATAGTTTTAAATAATGAATTTGAATAAAAATAAAACATTTATTTTACATACCTTTACAGTAACTGTTATAGTCCTCAAGACTTTTGTGATTATGAATATTGCTATAAAACTCTGAAATTATTCACTATGTTTATACATCACAACTTGATGAATAAATCTGACAATCATTCAATTAATTCAATCACTAGAAGAACCAAATTGCTATGTTTATGCATATATGCAATAAATGTGACGGGGTAATAGACATGCTGGGACAGAGAATGTTTGTTCTATAAAATATTTAGTTATCCATAATAAATTTCTTAAATATTCTAATTATCTGTAATTACAACATCAGTATTCTAATCATCATAACATTAAGAATTAGTTTTTCAAATAAGTACTTGTACATTTTCACATTGATTTTGCATGAGAGGCCTAAAATTTATAAATTCCCTAAAGAAAACTGTTGTTTGTTTAAATACAAAAGTAATAGCATGAGAGTTAAAGCTTATTATTTCATTAGCAGAAGTTAACATTTTGCAATGTCTATCATTGTAGCAGGCAGAATAGTGGCCCCCAAAATGGCCACTCCACATCCTAATGACTGAGACCTATGAATATGTTGCATCACATGTGAATATGTTACATCACATGGTAAATGGATTTTTCAGATGTGTTTGAGAACGTTGATATAGATAAATTGCACTTAGAGGCAGAAAGGGAAGGTCAGAGGAAGATATTATGGAAGAATAATCAGAGAAATATAACCTTTCTGGCTTTGAAGATGGATGAAGGGAACCAGGAGGCAAGAAATGTGGGTGGCTTCTAGAAGGTGGAAAAGCAAGGAAATAGATTCATCCCTGGAAGCTACAGAAAGAAATGCAGCCCTGCCAACACCTTGATTTTAGCTCAGTGGTGTCTATGTTAGACATCTGACCTACAGAACCATAAGAAAATAAATTTGCATTGTTTTAAGCCACTATGTCATATTTTGTTTTAGTAGAAATAAAATACTAATACAATCATCAATATAGTTTTGTTTTTAAATGGTGTTTTATATTATTGCTTAACATATAATTAACATCCAATAATTTTAATAAAATGAATAGTAGACTTTGAGTATATTAGCTGCAATAGTATATCCTAATTAAATACTGATAATTATAATAAATTTATGTTACACTTTAAAGGCTCTATAACTGTTGTCATACCTCAAAAACAAATGTTTTAAGACATAGAAATATACATTTCATTTATATTTACTATACAGATAAATATCTAGCTGTAACACTACATGTACAGTACAAAATAAAAAGAAACATATAAGCAAAGCAGAAGAAAAGAATCAAGTTTTTATTTTCTAAATAATTACACTTGTATTCCAGAGTGATGGTATGGGGATAGACAGCAAGGTATATACAGCCTTTGTACCACATTCTTTTACTTTCTGAGAAGACTAGTAGTTCATTGTGAAATTCAACTTAAACTGTCATGATCAAAAATAAATTCTTTAAATAGTATATGTACACAAACACACACCAATGCAAGGATTTTTATATATAAGGTCAAAAAAAATTTTTTTTTTGGCTTTCACTGTCCTCAACGATTCTATGCCAAAATATGTATATAAAGTGTAGAACATTCAGTGTTTGTCTTTGAATTGTAACATTGAAAATTTGTTGAAAAAATATGTAATTCAATGAACTACATTTAGGTTTCATGGGCATCTGAATGAATGGACAGGGACAAAGTACAGCAGTTACTAGACAAAAATAGAACTGAGCAAAAAAATCACTGTATGGTGACAAACAGGAATCATACACACAGCAATATATGCTGCCATAATAAAAATGGAAAATTTTTAAGTTGTTTCATAAAATTGATGGTTTGGAAAAACAAGAGAATCCAACTGACAATGATACTTGCTCTTGTCCACTCTGCCTAATAAAAAATGAAAGCTCATTTTGAATTTTTTTTTAAAAGTTGAAAGGACATCTACACAAATAGAAAAATGCTATGAAAATGAGAAAAAATACAATACTATAAAGGAAGATCCCCCCAAATACTTAAATTAGTTAAAGATCAAATAATATTAACTCAAATAACTTACTCTTCAACTCCTTCTTTGACATTTTCAACACCATATTAAGTGAAACAATAAACTAACTTTGAAAAAATGATTTATAATGAAGTACTGTATGGTGACTAACATAACAATTAAAAAAAACATGATTTAGAGTGACAGTAACATTTTGCATAAAGTAATATATCTGCTTTAAGATTTCATTGCCTGCACTTTCCAAATTCAATCAAGGTTCAGTTCATTGTTATTGTTTTCCTATGGCATCAGAGAGGTCAGACTTTTTTCACCATGTAAACTGTATTATGTAAGTTCAGTGCCTTATATTGATTAAGAGTTAGGTGGGTTTAAAAAAATATATATATCTGTGTAGAGCTGGGAATGTTTAATTTCTCTTAAATAATTAATAGTTCTATGAACAATTTCTTCTTTGCAAGTAAACAGATCCATTTTTCATCCCTATAATGAGTATGCATCTATTTAGCTACTTAACTACAATGTGCTTTGGTTCATTAGGTGGCTACTGTTGTGTCTCAGCCTAGTTAAAATTTCACAGCAAGTTAATGTGTTTTATTACAAATGAGAACACAAGTGATAACGTCCTCATCATTTGCCAAATACAGGGTTAACACTATTTGCAACAAATCAATAGGGGTATTTAAAAAGGAAAATTGCAACTCTAAAACCCCAATCATTTTTAGTCATTGATGACTTAATTTTATTTGGCATTTATGATTTTACAACCCTGTTACACTTCATTTATTTCATTTGGGCCCATTGACAATAGCTGTAGCTCTTCTGAAACACTACAGGTCTTTTCCAGATTCAAAGTAGCAAAGGGGAGACATTTCCAAAATTGATACATACTTACCCAATCAAATCCCCATTTTCCCTGCAATTAGTAAAATTATCTGTAATAATAACTCAGATTCTAGCATATATGTATAGTTCAAGGCTTACGCCTAAAATGAAAGAAACATTACAGAAAATGTTATTAATTAGTACATACTATCCCCTCTTTCATCATACTTTTCCCCTTTTGGGAGGTATATATCACAAATGGTCAAAGGCGACATTCATCATATTAAATCATTTGAAAGTACACTTGAACCTTAATAAAAAATAGGGTCAATGCTTAGAAAATTCAGTTTTACACAAGGTTTAACACAGTCAATTTGGTTTAGGATTTAGTTTATTGGCAGTAAAGTATCAACTCTGCCCATTTTCATGCAGATCCTTTATTTCATCTCAATATATTCCTTTATGTCCTTGGAAATATGGTGGTATACATGGAATGTATGAAGTACTAATAAATGCATATTAAACATGTATTTATATGTATGTGTACATGTGTGTAGTTGCCTTTTACTAACAACTGTATCAATCAATGTTAAATTGTTACCTCTGACATTTTATTATATTATTATCAAGTATTCAGTGTGATTATGTATTATATAATTTGTCTTTTTATTTTTAATTGGAATTCAACTCTCACTGTAATTATGTTTCCAAATGCTAATCTATTAATGAGTTCCTAAAGGATTTAATGGCATTTCACTACTGAGGAGTGGCTTTTGGAAGTTTGTCTGAGCGCTAGATATTTTATCCATGCATTTGTCTTGATATTTCATATTAAATTGATGTGCTCCTTCTTACTGTCACCAGAGTTCTGCAGAAACAGAACAGATTGTAACTTGACAGACTTTAATAATAAAATCAGGGACAGGGAAATGAAAAGTTTATTCATTGTTGCTGCTAACTTGGGTTACTACTATTCCTGAGGAAGAATATGAGGCCCAAATTTGGTTTCTGAATAATATTGGAAACTTGACAACTTATGGATCTTTATAAATCAGTTTAAGAATTAGTCTGTGGGGGTGCCTGGGTGGCTCAGCCAGTTAAGTGCCCAACTCTTGGTTTTGGCTCAGATCATGATCTTGGGGTCCTGGGATCAAGCCCTGTATTAGGCTCTGTGCTTAGCAGGGAATCTGTGGATTCTCTCTCCCTCTCCCTCTGCCCCTACCCCTGCTCATGCTCTCTCTCTAAAATGAATAAACAAATAAATCCTTGTTATAAAAAAAGATTTAGTCTGTGTTCCACAATCACCAATTTGCAATTTTATTAAAGTTAACATAAACAAATATGGCAGGTTTTTCATGAATTAAAAAAAAATAGGCAGATTGGGGATGCATCTGGAACATGTAACCATGAAACAGTCCAAAATCATAGGCATACCCTTCATGTGATCTATGTTATATTAGGGCAAAGGACCCTTTCACATCT